ATTGATAACCATTCGAGTTGATGGAGCAGCATTCTCGTTCTCCTGAAACCATGCCCCAAAACTACACATTGGAGAGTACAATGTCCACACTCTCCGTCAAATTGCTCAACAAGCTTCGCTAGCCAAAACTCTGGCAACTCGGATCATGAATGTATGCAGTATTTGTGAGACATGCATGCAGGAACAAAGTGTGGTTATTTACTTAACCTCATCTGGCCAATAAGGCAAATCTACAAAATGCACCCTCACAGTTTCTGAAGATTTGATAGCTAGTTCCCGTGGTCTTGGATGTGTAAATGTAGTAATACTTCCCAAGGCAAAAAGTGCATTGCTCGACTGGATCTCAGTTGATAGTCACCTGTGCACTATCTAGGTGGATGGTGCAGTAAGGTGTAGTTCAGATGAAGTGAAATGTGACTTCAACAGAAAAGTGTCTAGCCTCCTACTGAAAGCCAAACGTTCAGACGTGGTAATCGCAGCAAATGATTTCAACACACAAGCGGGTAGGTTATCAGGCAGAAAAGCCCTTAGTTAGGTGGGATTTTCAGTATCTGAACCGAACAAACAGATAACATCGATCACCTGCTACAACAGTGTTCAGAAAATCACCCGTTTCTGGTTAGTACGAACTTCACATATGACGAGAGAGATTGTCCGACGTTGCGTCCACTGACCTCAGCTCAGCTATGAATATAAGTGAGCCATATTGATAGCATTTATCGCTAAAAAGGGTAGCTGCACTTCCTGAAGCACAAGCATGTTTGGGTTGAAATGAAAACAAGAGGACTACTATTGGAAAACCTTTAAGAGGCAAACTCAATGATGAGAATACTGAAGCTGTTTCGGCGAGAATCTCCTAGGAGGTTATCGGAACAAGACAATGCCATTCATCCTGAATAACTCAGATACCATCTCCAGTCTGCTGTAAAACAGTATTAAATACCATAACTGACTCTATGAGGGTGGTCAGAAAGAGGGTCACTGGGTCTCAGCAACTTCTTCTGAATAGTTGGATACGCACGAACGCATTCCTACAGGCCCTAAGCGCAAGGAAAAACGGACGCAACTGAAATGTAGACTGGGAAAGAGTCTATTTAAAACTAATTCCTTTCATTTCCCAGGTAACGTGTAAAAGATAATTCCATGGTGTAGGAAGTTGGAAAGTATCAACCACCCTCATGCTTCAAACAGTAAAAAATACCGAATGAAATATAACCTGAACTTCGCACTTCTATCTCCTGTCTTTTCTTCACTTCCTGAAACCAACACAAAGACTCCCATAACTTCCTAGATCCCTCACTCTGGGAACATTCGTGATGATGCTACCTTTTCTATTGGAAAGAAGGATAAGAAAAGGTCAAGTCACTGCCTAACTCGACGTCCAGTGGTAGGAGAAGTGGGACTGAGTTGTAAGAAGGCTCAGAATGGCCAGACTAAGATGTAGCAAAAGTCGATGAAGTCTCTGGCTGTTGGTCTAAGGCTGCAGAGTAGTGTAAACTGCCCGGTTGGGGTTAAAGTAGTAACCAAAACCGATAGTTAGAGACTTTAGGTAACATGACGAAAAATCTATCACAATAATGGATATGAATTCATACATTATCTTTATCTTAATCACGGTACTGAATTTCCCCACAGTTCTTTGTCTTCTTCCTCTTTTAGTATAACTTTTGCAACTGTTGATTACCGTCTTATTTAAATCTGCATAAACATGAATTAGTTCCCAGTGCGTAACTAATGTACTTTATCTAGTTCTTATTGCTCAGCACTGATCGACGTTTACCGATCAAATTCTGCAATGTGATGCGATGCTACACTGTACAGTTGTTCGGTATTAGACATTAGGAGTCAATCGGTAGGAATCTCCGTTGGACACTTATCATTTATCAAGGTTTTATGGTTGTGTTGTGAGTTACATAATACAAAAACCTAAAGATATTGTTCATCATTGTAGGTTGACTCATCTCACAAGTAAATAGGACCACAGACTCAATTCAGCCCTATTTACTACAAGGCAAAACATAACAGCTATTTATGCAATAAGTATGCTAGTTTTCAAAGACTGAGCCTATTTACATTGAAAGTGGGTAAATCCAAAAAAATCCCTATTGATTGACAGGATATGACGTTACTGTATGCTGAGTATAATTTGTTAAGTAGCCTGACAGTTTTATCTAACCCTTAATAACAATGATCTTCAACTATGATAGAATATAAAGTATGTATAATTGAAAAAGGAAAGACAAAGAATCGACAGAATATTGCCAAGTGACGTCAAAACAAATAGATAGTGAGTGCTTTGCTGTTGGTCAGAAGAATGAGCTATATTTTGAGAACCATACTTTAGGTGTGAGAGTCTATGATAATGTCCAGCTGCTAAGTATGTACAGGTTTGTGCACTAGGCAATGAGCCACACTTTTGTATAAAGGCTTATGGTACTAACTGAGTGCCCAAAAGCGGACTAGGATTCAAATTAACGACTCACAGAATGAAAACTTGAGTACCAAAATTAATGTGCTATAGCTTCATCGGGGCTGATGCAGTGAAGTTTAAACTTCGGGCTCACTGTTTGACAGTACCTAAGCCAACTACTAAGTGTGGCGGCTCATTAGCATACACTCCAGTCGTCTTTCAACGAATGACTTATAAGTTCGAACCTCAATCCACCTCCTTTGGCTTTGACAACCAGGCAGTAACATAAACCCGGATATATTAGGTGCAGCTCATAGTCTAATATATAAATTTGTACTGGGTCACTAAGACTATATGACTGATCTAAGAAACTGCTATAAACAGCAGTTACTCAACCATGAATGTGTAAAACATGTGGATGTGTAAACCAAACACACAGCGTACTTTGGAATGGAGGACTCGATTTGAATCTATAAGGTGAGATCGTTACACGCTCCAACAGTACAAACAGCAAAAAACAACCAATAGGATTAATAATGACAAGAATAACACAAGAAATATGGAGGAGAGCCTAAATAATGAGAGGAAATAAACAGAATGATGTGTTGTAAGATGTCTAGACTTCAAAAGAGGGTAAAAAGGGACATGTTATTGCGCAACTTCAGCAAGAGAAAAACAAAACTGCATACCTACACAAAAATGTCTCAAATAAGAGCTCTGAAACTACGTGCCTTTTTCTTGCTATCTAAAAGCAAAAAAGAGCTGAAACAAGAATACAGATGCATCGGAAGAGATAAAAGTGTACCATTTATTCTTTTTAAAGTAATATTCCGTCTTAACTTAGTTTGACATATGGTTTAACATATGGTCAATGGCTGAAATCACCTCCTCATGTGATGATAACTGAATCTGCATTTATCTCCGTTATCTCTGCTAAACAATGTCGAACTGTTTAGGGAAAAAGTGGAGAAGGCTATAAAAATACCGATATGCTGTCTTTAACTGAATCAAATGCATTGTTTATCCGTTTAATTAGGTGAACTAATCTAAATCAACAGGATGTAGGTTGTGATGTGCTAGGCTATAGGTTACACTTATTGTATACGGTCTCAGCTACCTGTCTGGTCAAACTTCATTGGGTGGAACGAAGTTTGGACCCAAGAGGGGTTGTGTTATGGAACCAATAGTCGAATGGCTGTAACAGTGAATACAAATGCAATATATCATGGTGTAGCCGAGTTGTTATAGTAAGTACTTATCAGAACAAAATTATCCACTAACTGATAACATTGAATTTATGATTATACTGAAGATTGAGTAGTAATAAAGAAGACAGAAAAATTGTTTGTATTACACATCATGTATCCTGTACCGCATTGTATAAAAAACGCTTAATGTTGCTTATGTACATGCAATAGAACTCAAAACAATATAGTCAGTAAGCGTAAAGTTAAAAGTCATAAGATGGTCAACGATTTTTTACCAATGAATGTAAGACTACCCCCACTGTCTACCAAATCAACACCCATCGCTTGAGACTTCAGTACTTAAGCTAATGATTCAGATGCCTTAACTTGTCAATAGGCGAAATGAATCCTCATTTAATGTTATCAAAATTAATACACATATATCGCTGCAAAAGAATTTATGTCTACCCATCTTCTAGTTTCTCATGACACTGTGAGTTATTTGCATCCATGTTACTTCTCGTAAAACTGTGGTTCATTGTTTGGGAGAGATGACTTTCAACCGATGGGTCATGAGACCAAGCCCCGTTTCATCTAGTGAGGTATAAGCAGCCAGATGGTATCATTAACTTTCACAGAATAGACGTGGCTAATTGCCTACTATACGAATGTGCACAAGGTGACTGAGTGAATTTCGATTTATCACGTTATTCCTTGCTAGATTAGTTTATTCGATGTAATACAGTGATAAAATGTTATTTGCAAGACAATATTTTGAGCACACTTTATTGCTTACAATTACTCAAAGGTAATCAAACAACTGTCTAACTAAGCTTTTATAGTTCAACTGAGCTCGTTTCATTGATTTTATTAACGGTGAGAATTTTATGCTTATCTAGAATCGATGTTGAATTATTGCCTATTACACGTGTCAGACGTCGAATGAATGAACAAAGATTTCGTGCTTCATCTCGTCTTCTACCTACCTCAGTCAATTTTTTTTATTGTGTTTTACTGCATACATAGCGATGGCTGAATTCCCTCTAGAGTAGTAGGATCTATCATTCTGAACTCAGCTACGTTCCTATATTTTGCTAATCTGACTGACTCTAATCGGTTAACTTGACCTGTGTGCTACAACTACAGTGTTCAAGTTTCATACTGAAATGCGGGTGGATTATTATCATCACTTAGTGGGTGAGATGCAGTGTTGATACCTAGCTGCTTAAACCTCAGTTGGCAGAGAGAGGTTCCATCAATTGACCCACTAGTTGAAAGTTGAATGTCTACATCAATGAGTCACAAGTCCAACCAGAGAAAACTACTAGTTTTAATTAATACTACTTACATATGTAAACAAAGATAAGCAGGAGATATGCGCATACAATTACAAAATGACTTACTCAGCTCTATCTTCTAACCATAATAACGGTTTAGCGCCAGCACGTAAACCATGTGCATAGACAGATGCAGTTTTACGATAATTCTTTTGTTTTTCTAACAAATTGCACCAAGTGATATACAATGCTGAACACATAGTACCAACACCTTGCCTGAAGAGCAATTCAAATAGTTCTGTTGGCTGATCGCAGTATTCTGTCTGTATTATAAAAGAAGCAAAAACAAAACATTATACACAATCATACTATTAACAATGTGAAAAAAACATATCAGTTCAATAAACTAAAGTAGCAATGATATTAGGTGTCAATACGAGTCTGCCAAACCACGGCTATCTCACATAATCAAAATTATAATCAATATGATCCTCTGCTTTTCTAATCCATTTTAATTTAGATTGGGATGAGAAGTCCTGACTGAGCAACCAGTGTGAGTACAATCAAACGGTATTTAATGCGTCAGGAATTCATACGGTAGTCGGGCAAAATCCTTGGTGATTGAAGTGAGATAAAAATCTGATCAGCAATCGGGCCTCTTAGATCAGTTGGTAGAGCATCGGGCCGGAAGCCCGGTGGTCGCTGGTTCGAATCCAGCCACGGTTTAATTTTTTATTTCACCTTCAATCATCAGCTAATATTATTACTAGTCTACCAAACTAGTAATTAAAATGATAATAAAGTAGTAATTAAACCATTTAAGTGGAGATGGATTGGGCATACACTGAGAAGGCCGACTGGGGACATCATGCACCAGGCCAGGCGCTCGAATGGAACCCAGATGGGAAGCGACGAGTTGGGAATCCAAGGGTGACATGGAGGAGATCGTGTGAGGAAGAAGTGAGAGCTGTCATGGAGCCAGGTTCAAAAGATTTCAGAAAACAGAGTGGAATGTAGACGTGCTACTGAAGCCCTATGTCCCATTAGGAACTCAAGGGACAAATAAATAAACCATTTATTCAGACGGTGAAATTCATAATGGAAAATATTAATCACCTAAATAATAGCATCCTAGATGCTCTTAAGACATAGATTTATGGACGAACAATACTGTAGAGATAAGCAACTTATCAAGTGAATGTCTTGAAGGTTAATCGACAGTTTCATATAATATTCACTGGATGACTTACTGAAAGATAAATAATTAGAAGCATAATAAATAATCAAGTGCAGAAATGTATTTTTCAAGTTCCTACTTTTTGAGAAAACAGTAGAAAAACAACAGATGAACTGGACGACAATAAATGGCAACAACAGTAACAATGAGTTCATGAAGATGAAGAAAGAAAAATGGAAGTAAAGCGTAAAAAGGTATCATTTAAAAGGATAATAGTTAGGGAGAGAGAAAATGATGAATATAACTATGCTGGCGAATGAGTAAGAACAGTAACAACTAAACTTTACAGCTTGTTTGCGGTTCTTATTGTAATCGGAAGCAATTAGGATGAGTATTTGAGCATGAACTACTGTATGCCAAACGGAATGGTTTCACTTGCATCTTTTAAACTGATAAATGCCTGCGATATTATGATGAGTAATTCAGTAAGAAAAGTTGATTTTAGGTTCTGTGCTTGCTGAGGTTAAACAGTAAGCTGTAAGCTGAGGAAACTGATATTGTGAACAAGCATGAAGACTAGGTCTACAGTTTACCACTAAATGATTCCGAAAATAACACCGAAGTAAGATCCTAAGCATTATTCTTTTATAGGTGTTTTATTTTATTTAAACCAAAGGTTCACTAAAACATTGGCACCAACAAACGTGTGACATAAGCGTTATATGGATAGTGTAAGGAGTACGTTGCTGCACTGCCGCCCAAACTGAATATGTGTTTTGGAGCTTCTGAACTACAGTAGATCTAAAACTATTGTAGTAGTTGAAAAAGTAGGTTAATTTACACCTTATTCGTACGTTGACGATTCTCATATCCATTTGAAATATTATTGTAGGATAAAGATTTTTCGACTATCTCGAGTAGACAATCTGCATATGCTAACCTAATCAACAGCAGTCAATTTTGTATGAAGGCACTTTTAGAGAATATTTGAATTCTTCTCATCAATGGGCTTTCATGTAACACACACTATGCAATGTTCGACCGAATTGATAAACGAATAATTTCAGTCTTACAATGGATGTCAAGTAAGCTTTATATGTACAATATATGTTCTCAAGATTAGCTACAAGATGTTTATTGGATTTGAAAGTATGCATCAGCAAAACACGATCAACGTTCATCCGCAGTGAATCATAGGGATGCATATGAGTTATCCAGAGCAGAGGAATGTTGAGGTATAGTTATAACAAGTCGTAAATATAATTGGTTTACAGGTGTAAGGTTTACGAAGAGCTATCTGATTGACTTTGTATTCGATTTCACCTATTTCAAATGCAGCTGTTTCATCATCAATAAAATCCCAAGTAGCATTCACACCGAATTTCATCCGTTTAATCATCTGAAGCCTAATTCTTCAGATAACTATTAATCGAGGATAAATTAAACTCAAAGAGAGACACAGTTTACTACTCAGTTTGAAATAAAGCACTTTAAAATGCATTTGTTGATCATTACTATTAGAAAATAAACGCTTCAGCTGCCTAACAAGAATGGGATACAGATGTTGATCTTTTAAATGTTCATGAAGTTGAAAAAGTTGTCCCAAACCTGAATCCATGAAAATAACACAAACTGACACTTTGCAACCTCAGGTTTACAACAATGAAGGTAGAAAATTACTAAATACATCAACACAGGTACCACCTAACCAATGGGAATCACGGGCATTGACCTCACACTGACCTAATTCACTAATCAACCCAGTCTCCAAAACGCACAAGAAATCTTCTTGTGGCGACTACTGGGGAATTAGTTCGACTAATATTGTATCCAAGATCCTACAGTCCTCAGTTATCCAACGCCTTACTGAAGCTCAACAAAGTCATACAAGTTTCAGAGAGAGATGAACGAGGGTGACTCAATCATATTTCCACCCTACAAAACACTTCTGGAACACAGGCATACCTACTACCTACTGGTCACAGGCTGACACTTAACATATTTCTCGATGTGAAGGAGGCTTCCAACTCAGTTGACCAAGAGGTGTTGTGGCAGTGTCTGACTGTGAACGGAGCACACAACAAGTACATAAAGCCAATCAGAGCTCTCTACTCGAATTCATGCAACCGCGTAAGGGCTTATGGAGAGTTATCATGTACATTGGTGACAACTAGTGGTGTCCACCATCGATGTCCACTGTCACCGTTCATATTTAACTTCCTCATAGATGTACTAATGGACATAACTTGAGGTACGTGTGACTTCGTAGGGATTAATCTACTCTACTCAGTGAACGTCATACTGTAAACTTCAAGTGTTCGTAGGATGTTGTCCTACTAGGTGAAGACGCTGACAAAGTGTGGGTGCTTGTGACCAGGTTGTGCAGAAATCTGAGTATGCTTGACTGTCATACATCTGGTTGTCACCTGTCAAATGTATGATGATGCTCCAGGCATGACTGATCTACTGCAAGTATTGCCAGTTCAATGATAGGGAGTGAAGTGGAATTTGTTGACCACTTGACTTACCTGGATAGTTGCATCAATCCGTGGAACAGGTGGTTGCTAACGAAATCTCAGCTCGGATACAGAAGGCCTGTTTGGCATCTGACAACTTTTATCATGTGTGCACCGACTAGCGAGATATCTGACTATCTGTCGAGGGACGAGTATACTGGGTTGCAATTTGTTCTGTCATGTTGAACGGGTGTGAAAAATGAGTGTTAAAAGTCGAAAACGTGAAGCATTCGTAGGCTTTCGATCACAGATGTCTTCGTAGCACTGATTATGTATGATGGAATCACCGTCTGAGCAATGTTGAGGTGAGACGACGTGTGTTAGGCAAGACAGGGAAGTCGATTGATGGATGAGGTTATGAACCGTAGTCGACTGAAATGGCTTGAATATGTGTTGAGCATGCTTAGTGTGCGCTTTCGTCAACGTGTGGTGTTAAGGGAAGTTGAATTTGGTTGGAAGAGGGTTCAGGTGTTCAGATCAAGACTTCTCACCAGTCCACGAAGTCTGTGACTCTTCGTCTCAGCCATGTGGGAAGATGCAGACTGCATGACTAGGCTTCCTGAAACGAAGGGAATCAGTGGCTGAAGACTGTTGGTGGCATTTCAGAAAATCGGTCAAGGTGGTGCAGATGTATTCACTTCTTGACATCTAAAGCTTGAATATTTGCACTAACCGTCATCTTCAGATTATTTATTCTCCCACACAACTTTGTCTACTTTGATATCATTTTTTCTCTGCATCTATTCTTTGTGTACTCTTGTGAAGTGTGACAACTTCAACCGATGGTCGTGTGTGCGAGGTTCTAAGTTGATTTTATCAGTCAGTCAGAATACACCGCTTGTGATTTTGGCCTTTAAACAACAGAAACAGTTGGCTGATGTTGAAATCAGTCAGCTCAACATGAGTGGTTTCTGAGTGCTCATGTTTTTCAGTGGTATAACTCTTTAATTTATTGTACTTTTATGCTAAAAATCACATTTCTCGACCTCTTAATGGTTTGCAACAAAAGGCTTGTTGACTCAAGAGTTGAGCATTTGTTGAAAGTACTTTAAGGTGAGAAATTTTAATTTGTAAGTTGCATATCCTAATAGTTTACAAATGAATCACCCAGTTTCATTCATTATCATTCATGATTGTTCAAAAGTAATCACTTTTGTACTTACTGTATCAAACATTGTATCAGTTTATATTCATTTTGGTAACTAGCAGAGGAATCCAGAATAAGCATTTTTTCTTATTTGGGACTCACTGTTTTAATGTCTCTGCACCTTAGTGAGTGATGTTGCTCCCATTGGACCTCGAACCCAGTACCCATTGCTTCAAACGCTAAAGCGTTACCCACTAGGCCACTGGGGTATGGCATCCATGATTCCTCTCTGCAAGCCACCAAGCAAACATCAACGAAATGAATAGTCAGGTTGTGTTCAGACATCTGCATATGAGTTCATTTGCCAACTGAGATAGAGCAACACGACCGAACAATTAAACTAATATAGTTCTTGTATGAGTTGTCAATTCGTAAACTTCCTGTAACTTCGAGCATTTTCTCATACCGTAGATCATCTATGTAGTGATTTTTTCGATTCAATTACATTTATCATATCAACTCATATCTCCTACTCATATTTGT